GAGGAAGTAACCAGCGCGGCCCCCTAGCCGCGCGCTCTTCAGGAGCCGGGGGGAGGCGGGGAGGTGGCAGGAGGGCTGGGCGAGGGGAGAGGAGGGGAGGAGAGAGACGGAGGAGGGGTGGAAGAGACGTTGGGAAGAGGGAGCGGAGGAGGGAGGAAGGAGGAGGGGAGAGAGCGGAGGGGGGGGGGGGCTCGCCGGACCTCCCTCGCGCTCCGCTGTCACCGGGCTCTGCTGCTGGCCTGGGGCCCCTGCGCCGGGGACTCAGCGTGTTAGCCGTAGGCGATCGGGCCGTCTTTCCGCGGAGCAGTCGTTGTCCTCGCCTGGTCCTGAGGCCTTGGCACCGAGCACGTCTTCCGAATTCTGTAGGAATCGAGTTAGGTGCTGGCCCGGAGCGCAGGAGGCTTGGGTCTTAAGGCCTCTGGAGTTGAGCTGGAGCACTTCTTGGACCTCCGAATGGACTTAGGACTTCTGATCAATCTATTAGAAGAGGCTCTAAATGTGATAAGTGTACGAACCCGGTCCTCGGCTGGGGCGCGGAGAGGGCGGTGCTTTATTGCCAGCTCCGGGAAAGCCCGGTCCCACGGCCTCCGTGTGAGTGGCGCCCCCTGGAGCTGAGCGGGGCCTCAGAAGGAACCAGCCTTGACCGTGCTTTTCTCTGGGCTGAGCACTCTACGTACATCATAATCATAATTCCCCAAGGCATTATCTCCCGTTTCCAGAGGAGGGAACTGAACCTTAGGATTAATAACTCGCCAGTTCACATAAATGGGAAATTCAGAATTGAAAACCAGTTTATATAATCCCCAAATCCATGAACAAAATCACCACCCATACCATGGTTTCCATATTTTTTAGAAGGTGCTTGAGTTCAGGGCTGGAAGCTAGAGCAGTTCCTATTTAGACTCAGGTCAGATGCTCAATATTTTTCAGGGAGGTTTAATTCCTGAGGCTGTGTATGGAATAGAAGAATCCAGCTTAGGTGAGGCGGTGGAACTGAAAGTTGGTGTCACTGAAAGTCGGTACATCTCAAGGATTGCAATTCAAGGAAGCAAAAGGTCAGCCTAGCTTCTCTGTTACAGTGCTCAGGGCTCCTGGTTTCCATGGCAACTCTGGATCTGAGGTTATCTGGATATTAGATATGCTGTTGTACTTTAATGTTTCTCAGTACTCTTCAGGTATCCCTGTACATGGGGTCAAAGGCAGAGTCTATGCAACAAAAACAACCAGGTGCTAGGGGAGTGGGCATTTGATTCTGATGGCATCTCTTGTCTATTCAGACCTGGATCAGAGAACATAGGTTAAGATGGAGTTCTACAAATGGAATACAGATCCATAGTAAGCAGGTTACCATGGAGACACAAAAAGTATGGTACTTACTTTTTTTTTTTTTAACCATAGCAAAAAATACTGAGTCATCTGAGCTGCAGTTTCAGCTCCTATAGGGTCTCCTCCCCCCACCCCCCCAGGGTATTTACACAGCCTTGATGATATCTAAGAGGCTTGGTGCAGACAGCCATTCCCTGAAGCTCAGTGGCTCAAAGCAGGACTACCTTGTTCCACAGCTCAGGCTCTGTGCCCAAATTATCTAGCACAAAATGGTCAGGGGCTCTCTGAGTCACTGAGGGGCTCCCTGAATCAACACATCTGTTCCCTGCATGGCTGGCACAGGGTGGGGCCTTGGAGGTAGCACTTGGCTCATGCTGGGCAATTTCCAACACTTGTAGAAAGAGATCAAAAGGCAGGATTTGGAGACACCTGTTCCTAATGGCAGGCCTTCCTTTTCTCACTAACCTTGAGCCTCTTCTGTAGATAAGGGGAGATTATGGAACCTATGCCATTTCAACTGGAGCTATACATAGAACCACATTTGTAGAGAATTTGTTATTAGTGTGGAGCCCAGAGTGGAGAGGAGCTCGCTCAAAATGATAAAGTCCTTCAGCTTCTTTTCTCAAGCTTCCCTGTTTTTTTTTTTAATAATTATTTAATTTGATGTATTCATTCATTTATTTTAATTTGACCAGAGAGAGACACACACAGAGAGAGAGAGAGAGAGAGAAGAAAGAGTGAGGGAAAGTGAGAAAGTAAGCCACCACGTCTGGGACTTGAACTGTGGTCGGCCATATGCGAGTGTCCAGCACCTTAACCACCACGCCACCTGCTGGTCCCCCTCTGGGAGTGTTTCATGAACAACCCTTATGCTATCATACATATTAAGTTGTCAGGAAAATCATGTGTGCATCTATGTTTTTCTATGCAAAAATGCATCATGACTGTCCCAACAACTCAATACATTAAAAAAAAATCCTGTTTTCTAAGACCTAACTGCATATAACGCTGTCGAAAATGCTCATGGCCTGAAGCAGGCAGAGAGAGGTTTGGAAGGCCTCTAGAAACGAAGGTAGGCCTCTCTGCCAGGATCACCCACACAAGCCTGGACTCCTGACCCCTCATCTTTTTCCTCTCTGCTTCCCCTTCTGAGGAGGCCTGGCATTAGGCACGTAGCTCCTTGTCATAGTCCTACCCAGTGGCTGATTCCACTCTGCATCGTAATAAAATGGTTTATTCTAATTCTGGGACAATATCAGGGTTCTTACATTTTTTTCTCTTCCTGTTATTAGTTGGTTTCCTAGTTACTCAGTAGAATTAAAATCCAGCCAGGCTGAGCCTGCAATTATTCATTGACTGCTATGGTGCGATTCACAGAGAACCCTGAGCTTTACGGTAAATTAAACCTAATAAAAGTACAGCCCTTGTGCTTTGAGATCAAAAGTCGAAAGTGTTAGGAGGAAATTAAAAGGCAGAAGGTACATGGGTGAAGTAATCAGATGCACTATGGCAGATTGAGTTTAAAGAGCAATTTCAACTCTTTTCCCTTAAGAAAGAAGGAAGAGGAAGGGGAACAGGATAGTATAATAGAATGTATGTGTTATAAATACTAAATGTTTAGAGAGTACAATGTAGATAAAGAATGATTTAGAATCCAGATATAATTATAAAAAAACAATTAGCTTGCCAAGTCACCATTTAAAAAAACACAAAACATTTCCTTAGAAACACGGCTGTATTTACCTGAAATCCAAATCAATAATCCACATGCAGTCTGTGGTGATTTCCAGTTGCAAGTTAAACAGACGTCATTTAGTCTGAGGTATATAATCTATTCAATCAGCAAACACGGTGTTGGATGCCTAAGGGACAAACATGAGAAAGGCTTTGTCCCTTTCCTCAAAGAAGTGAAACTGAAGTATAGTTCGATAAAGCAAAATCACATACAGTGGCCGGCAGGTGGCATAGGGGTTAAGGACACTGGACTCCCACATGGCCGACTGTGATACAAATTCTGGACTTGTATCTCACTTTCCCTCCCTCTCTGTCCCTCTCTCTGCTCTGTCCCTCTGTGGTCGAATTAGAATAAATAAATAAATAAGTACATAAATACATAAATACATAAAGTTAAATAAAATAATTCTTTAAAAAAATAATAAAAGGAAAATCTCATACTAAGTGAGACTTTAGATATCCTGCAGGGGACCAGCAGGTGGCATGGTGGTTAAGGGTGCTGGACTCCCACATAGCTGACCGTGATTCGAGTCTCAGACCTGGCGGCTTGCTCTTTCTCTCATCAAATTAAAATAAATGAAGATAAATAAAAAATTCTTTTAAAAAAGAATAAATGAGTGAATGAATAAAATAAAAAAGAAATCCTACATGTGGGAGTAGAAAGGGAAAGAATGCACGTAGACTTAGAAATATTTCTTCTCCTTCTTTTTTTAATCGTCAGAGTGTATGTGCACTTACCAGAGAAAGACAGACAGAGAGACAGGGAGAAAAAAAATCACCCCCTCAGTGGGGTGTGGTCATGCCACGATTGCTCCTTCTCCATTGCTCCCATCCTATTGGGAATTTAAGCATGCATGCATGTACCAGTGTGTTTTTCAGGCCACTAGCTGGAATTTGAACCACAGTTGGCCATGTGGGATCTGGCTCCCTTCAATATTAGGCTATGGGGCCAGTTCGAGATTTAAATAATATAATTTATGTAGAATCTGCCATCTGTGTTTATTCTGCTGGGCACTTACTGGCAGGAGCTGAAGGAGCTCATAAAGTCAATCTTCATAACCTCACCTACTCTCACCTCCAAATCCCAGCACTGTTGGCCATTTGCAAGCTAGCACCGATGCCAGGGATTCTGAGCAGACATGCAGTCCATTTGCCAAACTCCCAAAAGGGTAGACCCAGACTACGCAAGGGAGTCTGCTTTCTTCTCTAAGATGCCTTGGAAGAGCAAGTATAATTTCATCCTGGAAATAAAAATAGCCCCCTTTTCTTCCTTCTCTTTCTTTCTTTCTCTTCCTTCTCTTTCTTTCTTTCTCTTCCTTCTCTTTCTTTCTTTCTTTCTTTCTTTCTTTCTTTCTTTCTTTCTTTCTTTCTTTCTTTCTTTCTTTCTTTCTTTCTTTCTCTCTTTCTCCCTCCCTTCCTTCCTTCCTTCCTTCCTTCCTTCCTTCCTTCCTTCCTTCCTTCCTTTCTTCCTTCCTTCCTCCCTCCCTCCTTTCTCTCTCTCTGGTGAGCACACAAACCTTATAGTAAAAAAAGTAATAATAAAAGCCTGTTCTCAAAAAGATTAATTTTCTCAATTAAAAAAGTAATATATTTATGAGTCTTTAGAAAAATTCCCTATTTCACTCAAAAAGTTGTTAAAATCAAACTATATAATGAACATAACTCATAAACATAGAAATAAGGTACAAATTTAAACAATGATAAAATGAATACACAAAGAAAGAACATATTTCTCTCTCTCTTCTTTCTTCCTTCCTTCTTTCTTTCCTTCCTTCCTTTCTCTCTCTCTCGTTCCTTCATCTTTTCCTTTTTCTTTCTTTTGTTCTTTCTAGTTT